GCTCACAGGTATGGCACGGTGGGTGCTGGAGGTGGATGGGGAGCAGATGGAGCTGCTCTAACCTGGGCAGGGGCTGGTTCTGGTCAGTAACAAAGCTGCTCTGGAGCTGGAGGTTGCTGTAGCACTTGTTGTCAGAGCCACACTCCTTCTGGAACTCAATCTGGAGGAATGGGACATCCCCGTGAGCCTCCATCCAGCCCCAGGCCAGGCTTACCGGGGCCACAAGCCCCAGTGGCACCTCCAGCAACCCGTGGCACCTTGGTCTCATTCTCGTGCGACTGGTCCTGGTTGAGGATGGGGAAGGCATCAAGGGAGTGGGGACCCAGCTGGAAGACCCTGGGCTTCTCCACCAGAGAGTAGTTCATGGAGAGCACGATGGGGTGCAGCTTGTCTCGGATGTTGGTGCAGGGTGGCAGCAGTCACAACAAAGCCCCAGCCCCCTGGCCACATCCGGAGCACCAGCTCCTGCTCACACCCCACTCCTGATACCCAGCAAACTCATCACAGAAGGGATGGAGGAACAGATTTCTACCTCTTTTCCTGGCCCTGATGTTCCCAGGACCTCCACACCCCACCAAGACCAGGTTGGACACAGGGGCTTAGAGCAACCTGCTCTAGTGGAAGGTGTTCCTGCTGGTGGCAGGGGGTTGGAGCTGGAAGAGCCCCTTCCAACCCAAACCAGTCTGAGATTCTAGGATCCCTCTCCCCATCTCCTGGAAGATGGTTCCCCAGCTCCAGTGCCACATGTAGAGCAACCTGCCATGCACACACACACACACACATGCACACTCACACACATGTGCACACGTGAGTACACATGCTCACCAGCAGCAGGAGCTCCTTGGATTCACAGCGCGTCTCGGGCATGGGGAAGAGGCCATGATAGGTGGCTGAGTGGGTTCCCAAAAACCTGACCCTGGGTGGGTGCCGGTCCTTGTCAGCCTCCAGGGTGTACTCCAGGGCTACGGGGAGAACACGGTGCTGTGGGTGCTGCACACGCGTGTGCCTCCAACACATACATGTGTACCTCCAGCACACGCAATCCCTGTGTGCACATGTCCCTTTGTGTGCACACTCCCTTGCACCAGTGCTGGTGAACATCCCTGCATGAACAGGCACCCAGGCCTGCACTTGGCACTCACTGATCTTCTCCTGGTACTGAGGGTCTCCAGCACTCTGGTTGTAGGAGAAGCAGACGGTCACTGTGATGCTGGTGGGGGCAGAAACGGGCCATGAGTGGAGCCGTGCCCCCAGCAGGACCCCACCGGGGCAAGGGACAGGGCTCACCAGGACTCAGGCGTGCACCGGGCAGGGTCCACCTTGCTGGGGGTCACCATGAAGGTCTTGTTCAGGATGTTGATCACAGGTCGTGCTCTGGGCAGAGAGATGGGGGTTGGCTGAGCCCCCCGCCCCACCACATTGCTCCATGCCCATCTTGCTGCCCCAGAACTATCCCTGGGGGGTACTGGGGCGGGCAGGGGGCTGCAGGACATACACGTCCCTGCTCCCTTACCTGAGCAGGACGATCCTCTCAGCCAAGCTGCCCACCAGCAGGTCGGGGTAGGAGTTCCCGTCAACGTCCAGCCCCCCGCTCAGCGAGTACCCAAAGGTCTGCATGCTGGCAGGTCCCAGGTCTGACCCGCTGATCACCTGCATTTGCAGGGGGGTCACCTGTTGGTCACCAGCCCCATGGAACTGGGGATCTACCCACTGCATCCCATCCCAAAGCACGGGATGCTCAGATGGGATCCGGAGCCCC